GCAGTCTTGACAACCTGACACCCCCAGCAACCCACGTGGCCGGGACGTGGGCGACCAGATCAAATTGGTTCGAGCTTTAGGTCGGGCCTGTCCCCCTGCAGGCGGATGCTGGACGAAAAATAAAAAATACCCCCCACCAAATACTCAAACAATACTCAAACATTGTATACAAGAATCGTCCCCTGACTATTGTTGGACTATGTTTGAATATTCCTCCTGTCGAGGGACACGCCCGACTTGATTCGAGCTTCGCTCCTGCAGCTTCTCCTGCAGGGGCAGCACTGCCACGGCCTGCCTGTCTCTCTGGGCCTGTCGCGGCAGGCCGATATGCTGCCGCGCGGCCGTGCGGACTGGGGACGGGCAGGCACGCGGCGGGGCCACCTGGGGAGCTAAGGGGAGGACGAGGGGCAGCAATATCAAATCGGGCCTGTCTCCCTACAGGGGGATTTTGGGTGCGAAAAATTAAAAATAGTCACACATACACTGAGAAATACTCAAAAGATCGTCCCCAGATTATTTTTTATAAGTTTTGGGTAGTCCTCCTGTAGAGGGACAGGCCTGACTTAACAGTAACATCCAGCGACTTCGGAATGCCACCGGTGTGGACCGCTGGCCAGACGGCGGCGTTCTGTCGAGGCTCGGAGGCAACTTTGGGTGGCATCGAAGTGCCATCGGCGTTGGACCGTCTGGCCGAAATCTCTACCCGAGGTAAGATTCTGCGCAGCTCGTCGAGCGCCCCTCGCTGGGCAGATATCGGATGCCCAGGGCGCCAGCGCCTCATTCTAGAACAGTCGCTCCGATCAGCCAGAGAAGCTCGCTTTCTCTGCGCATCCCTTTTGTCAGCCTTTTTCGAAAGCCTGCCCTTTTTGCCTGCTTCTGCTTGTGTGCACTCACGAGGAGAGCGCGGGCCTTCCGACGCCACACGCCGCGAGGCGCCGGGCCACGCCTGGGCAGCTTGAGAACTGGCGCTCGAGGACCCGGAGAGTCACAGGAAGTGCGGCCGCAGATGCTGGAAAGGCAGCAAAGAGGGAGGGGAGGGGAGGACGGGAGGGGCACAGAGGGGAGGAGGAGGAGGAGGGGGACGAAGAGAGGTGCCTCGAACGCTCCTGCGTTGTGCGGGCCCAGCGATTGCGAAAACCGACGAGTGGAAGCCAAGCGGCCGACGAAATGTCGGCCGCGAATGCGTCTCTGCGGTCTGCGATGCAGCGGCGGCGGATCCTCCCCTAACCAAGAAGCGGTGCTTGCTTCGGCGATTCGGCTGTGTGTGCTCTGGGGCCCGCGCGCCCGAAGTCCCGGCAAAGACAGAACCCGAACGTCGGCGGGCCCCACCTGGGACGCCCGAGCGACTGATGGGGGGGAACGACAGATGGGGACTGGCTCAGGGGGAGGGGGACACATCGACCCTGAACCCACGAGATGCATCTCCAATATAGACCGGCACTGTAAGAAGTCCCCGACCTTTTCCCGGGCAGGATGTGGTGCCCAGGCCCCGATCGGCGACGAGAGGGGCGATTGGGGTCGATGTCTCCCCCCTCCACCCCTGAGATCCGACGTCTCAAAAGAATCGAGGCGCCGTGAGAAATCGAGCCTGGAGCCCTAGACCCTGTCTTTCCGCACCAGTTTCCAAGCCGGATCGATCCGTGAGCGTCCCGGGGCCCGAAATTACGCGAAAACGCCTGGCTCGAAAAAACGGAGTCGCCGGGATCTCAGGGACCCCGTGGCCCGTCGCCACCCCTCTCGTTGCCCCTGATGTGCTCAGGCCTCCGGCGCCGTGACATGTTCCACGGCGCGTCCCGCACCGGCCACACGCAGGAGTGGCCCTGCGCAGGACGGGCCCTGCGCATGGAGGGGCTCTATAGCCGGGTGCGCGGCTCGCCGATCGCCGCATGCGCTGCCACAGCATCGGCCAGCTCGCTTGGGTTTGCTCCCCTCCCGCGACGCCTCAAGGCCGCGCACAAAAGGTCGCTCGTACCTGTAACCGAGACTTGAGATCCCCGATGTCCTGATTCCGGGGGGCCGGCTTCTCGACAGGAGCCGTTGACTGACACTCCTGGGGACCAGCGAGGGCCTCCAGATGGGCGGCGAAAGCGGCCAAGAGCCTTCCGTCGTGAACTCGTTCACGACGCAAAGATGTCGATTCTGGGCAAGTCCCGGCCCTGACCCTCCGCCGTGAGGCTCAGGACTCGTCTCCGGCTGTTCAGGAGGGGCGGCCCCGTGCGCGCCCTCCGCTGGCCAGTGCCCGCAGCGCTCGTCTCGTGGAAGGGAAAACTCCACGGGCACTGCTCGCCTCTCCTACGGGTGCACGCGAGAGGGGCACCGTGGCAGCAGCGACCCGCTGGTGCGCGGCTTTCCTGCCGCCGCATGCGGTGGCAGACTCAGCGGCCTGCGCGCTCGGGTTTTGGCCGCCCGCGCCCCCCGGAAACCGCGCACCAGAAGTCACCCCGGCGGAGCGGCGACCTTCCCGTGTAGCCGAATTCTCTCGGCTCCTGGCGCCCTCGCGGGGTACTGCTGCCGTCGAGGAAACGGCTCGGGATGAGCCGGTCCCGAGGAAGGGGTCGAGATCCTCGGGGGCCCATGTCACCAAAACACAACTGCGACGTCGGAAGAGAGAGCCCATCGGTTTGGCAGAAGACCTCGCCGCGGAATGCACGTGGCCGTTCGGGCAGAAGCCAACGGGAGGGCAACGTGGGGTCAACCTGAATGCAGGAAGGTTGCCCGAAACGCGACCATGAAGCGCTCTTAAACTGCCGCCCGACTCCAAACGGTGCTGCTTGAGAGGTGCACCTCTCTTCACCCCGCACTCCCGCGTCACATTCTGGCCCATCCATGATCATCGCCACACCCTCTCACCCCCATGGTAGGAAAGTATTGTGCTACAGTGTCTGCAGCAGCACTGCCTGCTCACGCCTGGTGGGGATTGTACCCCATGAGCTCTGGGCAGCAGGACTAGCATGACACAGTTTCATGAAGTCTGTGTACTACCCTGCAGCGCCTGGTTCGGTTGCGATCCTACTGCATCGTGTTCCGCCTTACGACCATTTTCGCAATCAGCTTCACCATCATCATCATCATCATCATCATCATCATCATCAGCAGCAGCAGCAGCATCATCATCAGCAGCAGCATCATCATCATCATCACCACCATCATCATCATCATTAGCAGCAGCAGCATCAGTATCGTCATCATCACCATCATCATCACCATCACCATCACCATCACCATCACCATCATCATCATCATCATCATCATCATCATCATCATCATCATCCCCAGCATCACCGTCATCATCATCATCATCACCATCATCATCATCATTATTATCATCATTACCATAATCAGCATCATCATCACTACCACCATCACCATCACCAGCATCACCATCATCATCATCATCACCATCATCGGAATCACCATCGTCATCGTCATCGTCATCATCATCGCCATCAGTGGCATCACCATCATCAACATCAACACCAACAACATCATCGTCATCATAATCACCATCACCATCACCACCACCATCATCATCACCATCATCATTACCATCATCATCGTCGGAATCGCCATCGTCATCGTCATCATCATCGCCATCAGTGACATCACCATCATCAACATCAACACCAACAACATCATCGTCATCATAATCACCATCACCATCACCACCATCACCATCACCATCATAACCACCATCATCATCGTCGGAATCGCCATCGTCATCGTCATCATCATCGCCATCAGTGGCATCACCATCATCAACATCAACACCAACAACATCATCGTCATCATAATCACCATCACCATTACCACCATCACCATGACCATCATCACCACCATCATCATCATCACCACCATCATCATCATCATCATCATCATCATCACCATCGTCATCATCAACATCACCGCCATCGTCGGCATCTCGTCGAAATCATCATCCCCATCCTCCCCATCATCCTCTCCCACTTCTCGTCTCTTCGTCATTTCCCTCAACCTCTCCCTCATCCCCCGAACCTCCGTCACTTCGAAACAGTCAGGGCCGCCTCAAAGAGGTAGTCCGTGAACTATGCACCCTACCGCTGCAAGGATATGTCGATGAATGTCGTGGGGAAATTTCCTCCCATATCTCCGACGTTCTGCGAGTTTCTGTTTAGCACGACCAGAACGAAGCCCTGGAGCGAATTTAATGGAAAGTTCGATGTCCCATGGGACAGCTGCTACTTCTTACCTGGCAAGTGTGGGTGGCCAGATGTAGAGAGGACCTCCCGACCCGCCTCGCAGACCCGGCCACAAGGGGCCTGGCGCTCCCTGGATATTCCGCCTCGCTTCTTCGACGAATGACGACTGCAGAACGCAGCCGCCGGGCTCCAAGGGGCCTCACTGGGTATCCCACATCGCGTCCTTGCGTGGGGATCGCACGATGCGAAGCAATGCAGTCGTATTGTTACCCCGAGGTTCCAAACGAGTCTCAAAAAAACTAGACTTGGGAACATGCGGACGCCGCGGTTGCTGCTACGACGCATGGAGGTCTGAGCTCTTCCTCCTGCTGCTCCTCCTCCTCCTCCTCCTCCTCCTCCCCCCCTCCCCCTCCTGCTCAACATCGACACCCAGACATGTCCAACAGCGCGTACCGACGAGGACTCCGAGGCGAGGCCGCCTGTGGAGACAAGCGCACCGAACAGCCCGAAAAGGCTTCACGAGTTCGGCAAACGCGTCAAACTCTCCCTCCCCCTGCTCCCCTAGCTCCATCCCTGGGGGACGCGCAAGCATGTATTAGCAATCCATGGATTTGGCGCGCTGTCGCCAAATCCATGGATCGGGGGAGGTGCCCTCCCCAAAATGCGGCCGGTGCCGCCTCGCTCGGTGGCAGAAGCCCGCAATACCCCATGGAAAAAGGACCCGTCGCTAATGCACGCCCAATTGATCCATGTTTGCGATCGCCTAAATCCCTTCCCTAATTCTGGCAGAAGGCCAGCAGCCTGTGCATACGGAAGCTCAAAGGC